AAGCTTACTTTAAGCTTCTGAGATAATATTTTGTTGTCATCCAACTCTTTGTTGAATTTAAATCCAAGGTATATGAATGTACCCTTTGATTTCAATAACTTTTCATTAGTCTATCGTTCAAGAAGAGTCCTCATGTACTCTAATAGTTCTACAATCGGTAGCTCTCTTGCATCTTTTGTTACCGCATTCAATGACTCTGCAATGTTTGATGTCATAGTCCAAGTTCTGTTCACCGTAGCATGTACTCAAGACCATCTGTGATAGTCAATATCGTATAAGTATGCTTTAACACACGGGTCAATCTTTTCAATCTTTGACATTCTTTCATTAAATTCATCAAGCGTGTATGATCGTGTCGTGGCAAAGTACGATTCGCTTAACTTTATATGACTTTTCTTGAACTTTGACCTTATATTTGTCCAAATATGTCACATGCAAGAATACTGTGGCATGCCGGTATAAACAGTAGAAGTTGCCTTCAAGATACTCTCATTCCGATCAGAAACAACACACATATTTGGTCTTTCACCATATGCATATTTGAATTGCTCAAAAACCACTTCCATGATGCCTCATTTTCTGAATCAACAACAGCATATGCCAGTGTTAATATGCTACCTATTATATGTGACAAAAAGGAATTCAATTTCCATCACAAAATTGTAGATAAAGGAAAATACATACAAACAACAAAATTTCTACAATATATCTACAATAAATCTACAATACCTGTTGCATCCATTGTGCTAGCTGTTAGCATTATTCCTCTGTATGCTGACTTCAAGAAGGTCCCATCAACTACTACAACCGGACTATAATATTTCCAACCATTGATTGACGTACTCATCGCGACAAATGTATACAAGAAACAATTATCGTCGGTCTTCTTCAATTTAACTACAGACCCCAGATAAGTCTTCTCCATAATATACAAATAACTAGGCAATCGACTGTAGAAGTCAGTAGGATGACCTCTCAAAAATTCCAATGCCTTTTTCTTTGCTCTCCAAGCTTGCATGTATGTTAAGTTCACGCCGTGTACAGACAACATATCAGTTTGAATGTCTTTTGGTGTGTAAACTGTCTTAGGATCAGCATATTTTGGTATAACCATGCTACCCACTATCATGGAAGTAGGTTTGTGTTGTATGGAGGTATTGTTCATTAAAGAGCATGTGTGCAAGCTGTTGAATTTTCGAACCTTGAACATTGCTGAATCATTTATGCTGGTGGACTTGAAGTGCCATGTACAATCTTCCCCAACACATACCAGGCAGTAGCTACAGAACAAAAATAATTTAAACAATGAAAATATTATATTTAACAATTTGTATACAAAAACACTACAAATTATCTACAAAAATACAAATAAACTACAAAATACACAAAGACATGATCTTTGACCATTGAACTATTCATACCTTCTAGCACTAGGCCTTTTCACCCTAAATTGGAACTTGTTCATGACAGAATAGTGCTTCATTGCACTAGCAATTATTTTCTTATCTTTGTATACCTGGCCTACTTCAATAACAGTTGGTGTATTTTCTGTTATAATTATACTTTCATATTCCACTATCTTAGGAGATGTTGACATATCAATCAACTTCAGTGTTTCAGATGAACCTGCAATCAATTAAAGCTAAATACCGTTATGAAATATAATGTAGATATTTTGTAGAAAAATTATAAACCAATAAAATCCAGGACTTACATATTCATAACAATTGATATACACATGTTATGTAGTTTTTATTTAGAAATATTGTAGAAAATTTGTAGAACAAATAAAATTCAATACATATTTTGATTTACACTTGCTATGTAATTTTTTTTGTAGAAATATTGTAGAAACATTGTAGCACGCATGAGAGAAAAAATAGATTTCACCGCTGGAATAACATATCAAACCTGCAATTTCGTTCGAAATAGACATACTACATTCCAAATCAAAATCCCGCACTGTTATACATAGCGGATGCGTTCCTAAGCTCATGTTTTCCTTTTTTGTCTCCATGTAGACTAGAACTCCCATATCGTTCCTAATTTTCATTGGCGGACAATTTTCGTTGATAATGTACTTGATTTCGATTATTTTTTCTGATATATCAATCATTCTATGCTCTGCGATTGTAAAAATCAATTGGCTATAAGTTGCATCTTCCGTGATTACAATCCCGTCGACATGAAAATCCCTATATCTCCCAAAGCTATCCCAAGTACCATCTAGCTAAAGCATAATAGCTATTTTCGACATTATTGCGCGTGATTCAATACAATTATAGATAATTAATTCGATTTTGCTTGTGAAACCAGAATATACAGTGAAAAACAGAGTATTAGCAAAAACAAAGTGTCGAAATTGTGAGAGAAACGGAATAATTTCAGGCCTAATTAATGGCGAGTAATGCGTTTCAGAAAATCTCGGTAGAATCCTTTACAATCTCAATTCTCGCTCCTAAAAAAGGAATGTTACAACAGAAAGAATTCCTTTTTAAACGATTTGTATAGATTCTGTAGGTAAAATGTGTCCAGGTCGGGTAATATTTAAAACAGAAATATTTTTTGTAATAATATTTCATCTAGTGTATAAGAATAAAAAAATCTCAAAGTTGATCGGCTAAGTAGCAATAGTGGGCATAACAGAACTACCTATAGTGACCTACTTTTTCTACTTATGTGATAGCTAAATACATATTTGCATGCAAAATGACCATCCATATCTCTACTATTTAAATGGAAGTGGAGCAGGCCTAGTCTATGCTGGCGGCTGCTTCTAATAGTGGAATTTTTGGCTCCTCAAAATCACTTAATAAATTGATTTCTCTCCGTTCTTGCTCTTCCTTTTTTATTCCCCCGTGTTCTTCAGACATACCCACCGTAATTGTTTAATACATTTATTTATAATTTAAGAAGTGAGGAAAAACCCAAAATTAATGGGCATGTGTGGGTTGATTGTTGGAAATTCTTCTTCCACTTTAATAGTTTGCTTTACCCCACAAAGTGCATCAATTGGCACCGAAAAATAGTCTCTGGATCCTCATGTATATAGAGATTAATTTGTGTAGTGCACATTAAAGAATAACATTCCAGGTAGACGTGTTAGACAAGAGGGGTTGTTCTGATGGTAAGCAACTTCCACTTCCAACCGAGAGGTTGTGAGTTCGAGTCTCCCCAAGAGCAAGGTGGGAAGTTCTTGGAGGGAAGGATGCCGGGGGTCTATTTGGAAACAGTCTCTCTACCTTAGGGTACGGGTAAGGTCTGCGTACACACTACCCTCCCCAGACCCCACTAAGTGGGATTATACTGGGTTGTATTTCAGGTAGACGTGAAAGGTAAATTATCGTTTTATTACAAGGACTGAAAGTGTAAAATTACGGGGAACAGCTTTCATAGGAAATCATAAATATATATTAGTGAATATTTTCTTAAAATAAGAATGATTCTTTGAAAAAGTGGTTTAATTTTGAGTCATCATCTTCAATTATGCGGCCAAGAAAAGAAAGAGATAAAGTCAATTTGGAAAAATTCTTCACTGACTTCAGGACTTTTGAACCTGACATTTGGTAAAGCACCAATCATCATTGTAAATAAATGACTAATCTTAAAATCGTAAAAATAGCACGGTATAGCCAGTTTTATGATTGGTCATTCAAAAATAGCCAGCGTTTACGAAGTCAATGAAAAATAGCCACTATTTTTCTGCAACAGAGGCCGATCCAGCATAATATACTGGAGTTCGGTGCACATATGTATGGACTCCAGCATATTATGCTGGACCGGTATACTTTGCTGACTCCAGTATAATATACTGGAGACTGGAGCACCGGTGCTCCAAACTCCAGTATATTATACTGGATAATTATACTTGCTGGAACTCCAGTATATTATGCTGGAGTTCTAGTGTACTTATGCTGGAACTCCATCATATTATGCTGGAGTTCCAGCATATTTATCCTGGAACTCCAGTATAATATGCTGGAGTTCAAACATACTTATGCCGGAACTCCAGTATAATATACTGGCGTATTTTTCGGATTTTGAACAGTATTTTCGCTCAGATTTATCTTTACATGAAAAGTGACTAAATTTCGATTACTTTTGAAACTGGGCTATTTTTGAACGACCAATTATAAATCTGGCTATTTTTAAATTTCTCCCCCCAATGAGGCATAGTCCAAATAGTTGCACTGAAATGTCATAACCATAACAAAAAATAGTGCAGTTCAATTCCGGCAACGTATTATGTATAGGTTTTCTCTGATTATATATTGGTATTTGCCTAATTATTGGTTTATTACTGATTCTGTCCTATCCTAAATATAAGTAATTGTTCTTGACAAACTGAATCTGAACTTAGAATTGTTTATGATACATATCTATCGATATTCTCCCCACTACCNGATTAAAAGCGGACAAATATTTCAGGTGCAAAAAATTAGAGACAGCATTTGAGGAGAGTTATGTTGTCTGTTCGAAGAAATGATTTAACTTATACACCACTAATGCACAAATTTTTACACTAGTAGCGTATTAGTTGTCAAAAAGTTACTTTAATTTTCTCTTATCGGCCTTTCAAGTACTTCAATAGATTCAACCCAAAATATCTTCAGCTGCCAAATCATAAGCTAGATGCAAAATTAAGGCAAACAAAGAACAGTTCTCAACTCGCTGTTAGTTTCCTACTCCTATCAATCAAACTGTAACTGTGTTAACGTCCAATCTTGCTCCAAATAAATTAATCTAGCCCTCAAGTTAGAAGGATTAAGTTGTTCACAGACTTGACAACTCGCTGTAATATTCTAGAAGAATCGAAAAGAGCAATGTGCTATGCAAAAGTTTTAGTTCGAACAATAAACAGCTATACAGTGACACCAACCATAAGGGGAACAATGAGGTGATTCCCCCAAATCAAACAAGGCCTTTCAATAAATAATTCTATGGAGATTATTGGCAACACCCAACCTCAGTTTTAAACACAATCCTAGAAATCTAACATGGGATCAAAAATCATATTCATGCATAAGAAAAAGACCAAATTATCATGAATTCAAGGATAGATGATCAATGACAATATCATATGCAACATGCCAACCACCATGGTGTTTCGCCTAAATCAACATATTATGCACAAAAACCTACTGCTATGATATTTCAGAGCAAGTGGGAATCGCTGATGAAGATTTCCATCTGTATGTGACAACTGCTAAACAAAAAAAATGACACAACAAAAAATTGCGGGGTTCTTAACACACTGACGGAGATCGTAAACATGCAGATTCGTGAATGTCACTAATTCCCTGTGAAGCAACTCAGTATATCAGTATCATGTCGGTCCACCAAAGAATAAAGTCGAGCCAACTTGCACAGCTATTTGAGCCTCGTACATCGTCGCTTCACTTCCAAGCAAAGGCAGGCCATCATCTGCTTTCTCAACAAAAGGGAACCTTATAATAGCTCAAACTCATCTTAGCTCCTCTGTATTGAATTTATTCCACGCTTCCTGCAGTCAAATTCAGGATCTAAATTCAGAAAAGTGTAGCTGATGGTTCCTATGCGTATTATAGGATATGACGGATAGCAGTACTCACTCCCGCTAGAGAAACACAATCCCCAACTGAGTCACAGACTAACGATTGGCACATTTGAAATGTAGTACTAGATATTGTCACGTACTCTGTGGTGACTGGGTGTATACATTACATAGAGTGAATTTCACTGAGTGACAAAAAGGAAAGGATGTAGTATTTCCTTCCCAGCAGAGATGGAAATATACTATAAAGATGTAGTAGTTATTTCCCAAGAGAGACGAAAGCACGTCAGAAGTAACCAGTAATATTTTTCTTTATATTTCTCCCCCTAATCTACTGCCTTCATATTTCATTATTTGCATCATCCTTATGGAATGTGTATGGATCCATACAATTAATACAGCCAGAAGCTCTTGCAGTGGAATGGTTTCAACTTTGGTGTCCAAATTGAGCAGCTAACTGTTATTTCTCTACTCTCCCCCTCCCTGACCAGACACTCTGCCTACATTTCCCAGAAGACAGCAAAACCTTTTAGCCTTGTTTGATGTTTCCCATTAAATTCTATTGCTTTTGCTTTGTCGCATTTAGAAGTTTCCGAAAATATGAGTTGAATTTTTGTACAAATCAAGCTTCTACTGCTGTTATTCAGTACGAAGATTATTCAAATTCATATTGTTTGACAAATAGCAAACTTTAAATTCTACATTTTCAAATCCTTTACATTACAGTTCTTCAGAAACAAAATATTCTCTTAAATGCAAGCAAGAAAATGATCCTGAGTTGCAATATCTAAACTCAAACATTAACTCTGAAATTGAAATTTGCTCTTTATATTCTAATTTCTTAACTATTTCAGGCCCCTTCAACCAACAATGCTTCAATGCAGTCATTATTTGCAAGTAAGCAAAAATCATAATTACACACCGGAAAAAGACTATATTGCGTTAGCAGCAGCATTTATGATATGGATCAGTAGTTGTCCATTAATTATCAGGTTTGTTTGAGTTAAACTTATAACGCATCGTTAATGCACCTAGTATATTAAGTGAATTTTCTTCCCCAGTATCATATTTGAATCATATCAAACCCTAACTAATCGATAGAATAAGAACTTTTAACAAAACCACAGCTATAGCAACATAATCAAATTTTCATACAAAAAGGTGAAGTCTTGAACATTGAGTTGGTTGAAGTTATGCATTTTCTCAGAGAAAATGACAAACGGTTCACTCTAAGGACAGTAAAACTTTTTAGGGGTCATTTGGTTCACGGGATAAAGGATATAATCCTGTGGATGAAATGTGGGATTCTTTAATCCCGTGTTTGGTTGAATTTTTATTTCTCATATAAGCAATCCCGATCTCAGCTAGACCACGATTTTGTTATTATCTTTAGACCATATTCATGTGGGATAACAATCCGGGGAAAAAAAACGACAAAAGTGCCCTTCTCCAAAATCCTTTAAAAACGCCAAGGTTTAAACAAAGTTTATCCAAGTTTATCTATTATAAAACCAAACACATGTATTATATAATACCCATATATCCCATTTTTAAGTCACTGAACCAAACATCTACCATAAACAATGTATCCACTAAATAATTTCGTTATTGTTTAATGATGTAGATTCGTTTCCATGGTTTGATCCCCGCATAATAATCGCAGTATAACTTGTTTGCAAACCAAACGAACCCTTACAAACCTTATTACTATTTGCCCTAAAGGGGCTGGCCATACCATGTACCTAATATACCCACATATTTTACTCCAGTTAAAGGGCCATTTGGTTGGCCGCATTAATAAGAAAATCCCTGCATAGCATAAGTAATAGTATAATATTTGGTTGGCCACATAAGAAGAGATAATCTCTCAACAATTAATGCATTGTTTCGTCGACCGTGTACGGATAAATCCGTGCATATGCAATGTTTGGTTGGTGGTATTCAGTGGTGAAGCTAGGAATTTTCCCTAGGGTGTTCAAACTTGAAATAAGTAAAAAAGAATTTCGACAAAGGGTGTTCAATATATGTTATATACCTCTAAAATCTAATATTTTACCCATATACGCAGTGTAATTTTCCGACGAACCCTTACCATAGAGTAGCTTCGCCCATAGTGGTATTGAACTTAATACCAACATACCTAACGAGGGAATCTATGTATTATTTTATGCACGAAAGAGTTTGGAATAAACTATATGTATCCACAAAATGTGGATAACACTATCTAAAGACATAAATGCCTTCAAAGTAGAAATTTTTGCACCACATTTTATGTTTTTACCATTCCCACATAATAATCCCTACATTACAATCCATAAATAACTAGTACGCAAACCAAACAGCCCTTACTTCTGCAGCTCCTTGTAGCTTCCCATATGCATATATGATGTATGCATCGCAGCCTTGCGGTTGCTTAAAATATAATGATGAAGCGTACTTGTTGAACATATAAACGACAGGAATGAAGATTAAAGAATGTGAGCTTAACAACTTATTAAACATATGCAGTTACCTTCAGAAGATCAAAAACCTTCTCAGCAATATACTTTTGCGGAACTGTGGCCCCTTTTTGTTGAACTTTGTCTGGGTGGACACATAAGGTTGCCCTGTGATAAACTTTTTTGACAGATGTGGAAGTGATCAAATCGGTCAAAGAAACTGGCTGCCAACCGCATTCAGGCCACAATACCTGCACGGCATTTAAGTTGCGAAGAACTACTTCATGACACTGGATGCCACATTTCAAAATTGTAAATACTATGGTCATAACTAAGTGAACTTTGTAAAAGCCCATACTTACTGGCTATATTATAAGATATAGTTGTGCATTCAATAGTTGCAATTAACTACTTCCTTCATGACACTAGATGCCATATTCTATTGCAAATACAATGGTCATAGCTAAGTGAAATGTGCAAAAGCCCATAACTACTAGAAATATAATAAGAAGCTACCAACAGAAGAAACATGTATGAAATATCATCCCCTTCTAACGTTTGCATTGCTGCTTTGTGTATGAGGATCCATAAAACACTGGATTTGATGGAAGGGCATCAATTTCTCACAGCAATAGATTAGAAATAACAGATTCAACCAGACCACATGGCATCGAAGATAAACGACAGGTAATCTAATGAATACTGATATGATGCAAAGCTAGAGAAACCATTAAACTGGCAAACAAGGTAGAAAGATGATGCACAAAATATTACATTAGTGTTGGGGAGCTACCCCTATCTACAATTGTAAGAAGCAAATCTAGCGCAGTTTTGCCTCCTTAGATATAGCGAAATTTAAGGACTTCTAAGGATCAAGCTTGATTCCCTTTTTACCCAACAGAAATTAAGCGTTGATTTATGGATTGGATCAAACTAATTTCAGAAAATATCTAAACTGGCTTGAGAGATAGTAGATTAAATCTAATTATGTCTTGAAAGATTCTTAATAGATCTAAGCGGACTTCAAGATTTGCTGATTACATACATGTTGCAGTGATGACAGCAACGCGCGGAGGTTGCCTTCTTTCCCAGTAGCCCAACGTTTTATATCATAGTCCAGCATCTCAGCAAGCCTCTGCAACAAGCAGTTTGTTCCAAAATCAAAGGAAATAAGCTATACAGAATGTTTGAGCAGGCTGAATGCATAATGTGAATTTCAATTAAAAGATAAAGCAAACAGGAGAGAGATTTTTCTTTCTTTTGGGGTTTTTTTTTTTNCATTTAGTTCGCAGGGGAATTTTTTTAAATGCAACTTCACAACAAAATAACACCTTGGAGTAGCATTCCTGTTATTTCATATATGCACCCATGCACAAGCATTCGACCGTGCAAAATAACAACCAGACTAGAAGGCAGGCTTGTCATAAACTAAACTTTAGGATTTGGGATACGAGTAAAATTAGGTTACAGACTTACGGGTGCTAAGATACGGCTGTGTTCAATTCCTAAAAAATAGAGCTGTTCAAAATGTAGCATCAGATATTGAGAAGACTTTGTACCGACATACTCCACTTGATTTTTCTAATTGATTTTTTTTTTTGCTTGTCTATTTCTGGTGATTTTCTATTATCCTTAATTCAAAATGCAGATACTGGATTTTTTTCCAGAATACAGATAATGGATTTCGTTGATCTTGGTAGCTTCTAAAGTCTAAACCAAATAAGATACATCAAAACCTGCAAGATTATATCAGGGGCAATGGGATTACTTTGGCGGAAGAAACATTTTTAACTAAAACCACATCCAACACCAACTCCAAAAGCCGGGACAACTACCCCAATTCTTGATGTTCTGATCTGTAGCCTCCACAGAAAACATTTCTTTTCTTATACTTCCATTCATCTCCATCACTCCTCTTTCTCCAGCAAGGTTTAGCGATTCTGCGGTTTCAGAATCAAAATAGTTTTTACAGAATTCCTTTCTTCTTTCTCATTAATCTTCAACCCTCATGCTGACTAAAGCATCTTCTTTATTTTTTTGTGTGCTTCTTATGTCACTTGGAAAGAAATCAACAACCATGATACAGGAAGATCTAGAGGTTTTGACTTAGCTATCTTCAAGGTCAAGCAAGCCACGAGGGAAGTGATTGAGGGGATGAAGTGATTGAGGGGATGAATGACCAAACAGATGGCGGCTATGGACCGTGTTTGTACTTCTTGTTCCCTCTTTTTGATAAATGATAATTTAGATTAAGGATCAGCACTAAGCAAGTGCAAAACGTAAAATTACAAATTGTGCAGTTCCCAATCATGTCTAACATAGCATCAAAATCCTGTACAACGGACAGCTTGCACTACTTCTTGTTCCATCTTGTCTTCATCTTATTCTCTGTCCGCTCATTCTTCCTATTTCAACTTATGTGCCAGTCAAAGATCCTCCAGATATTGACTGGATCTTGTACGAATCCTGCTCCAGCACGGGTGTAATCTTGGATGGACACCGGTTCAGTGAGAGAAAACTAAGGATCCATGTAGCATAGCAAACAACTCAAGCGTAAGCAAGAAAAACTAGACATCACATTGGCGAAAGCGCTAAATGGGAATCCAATTGCTAGTTACCACTTCTATAGTGCACTCAGTGGTAATGCTAATCTAAAAGCTGTACAAAAACACAGGAAAGCAATCTCCGGAATTTATCTCATTCTACCAGAGAGTTGTTTGCATTTTTTTAAGAATGATTACTTGTAAACTACACATTATACTTTGAAATGCTTTAAAACTTCTCTTAATTTGCCAACCAACTTTAAAAAATGCTTTAAAAATTTCTTTTGTACTCTAAATTTCCAAAGGAGGACACAATCACTAGGGCATCAAGTAGTCAATGTGTAGTACTTGATAAAAGCTGCTATATCTCTATAACTCATGTGTAGATCCATGAGTTAGTGAGACATATAAACCTCAGCATCTAGTGGGAAAAGTTAAGGAAACACCACATCACAGGCCAAACTTATCCCCCAGAACAACCTTCAAACAGCCTTTTCTAGTTCACTTGAAGAAAAGACCTCATATTAACGAGAAGCACAAGCAAACCTTTGACCAACTCGTATACAGATCTTCCTCTTCCCAATATAGCTGAATTTCTCAAGCAGCCACACATCAACCAACTTAAAAACCATTCTCTCTCCACAGAATCAGGGATGATTTAATGGATCCAACAATAAGAGTATTATTTCATGTTTTGAGGATATGTTAGCACAATACTCATCCAACAATAAGAAAATATTGTGGGTAATGGGGATAAGATAGCACAATACTCAACTGAAGGGACAGTCAAAAGATTCTTAAGTAGAAATTTTACCATGCGCTCTTGGGTCTTCATATGATGCTTCAATCTAGCTCTTCGTCTTTCTTTACTTTCTCCTTCAACTTCCTGAAACACCTCAGAGGAAGGAGCAGAGTCTGCATGTGCACAAAGACTAATAAATAAGAACGGGAATAATATAATTTATTAGAATTAAAATGAATAAAATATTCTGGTATTAATAAATTCTAACGCATTAATTCCTCAACAAAATTTAGTATCTTCTTTTGCAGAAATGAACACCTCCAAAAAACATTAAATCATCAACAAAGTTTTTCACAGGCGACACATTCTTCCTTATGGAAGATGATTTCTTTTCTTCAGGCTTTCCTTTCTCATGGAAATCTGCAGACACATGGCCCTGAAAGAAGGGGGAAGGAGAGAAACATGACACAAGAAGAAATCAAAAGGGTTAGCCAATCAGTACCCATAAGATCTTGGAATCCAACAGTCTTAATCCAATACCTTAGCTGCAGATTTTGGTGTTGTTGTCTTGCTCGGTTTGTTGATCGTCACTCTCACACTTTTGGACTTCTCTTGTGCTCTTTCCACAGGCTTCTTTACATAGGCGTCCTTTTTAGTATCATGTGATTGTTCAGTTACATTACTCCTAACCTTAAAATTCGCAAAATCTTCAAGTTCGTCAATTGAAGAAGTTACAGTGCTAATTCCAGGATGATGTTCTGATGATTCTGAAAATGGCCAAGAAGAAGCATTTGCCTCCCTGGTGGATGATTTAAAAACTAAAAATGGATCATCTGGCGAAGAGGAGCTTGATTTAGAAGAATTTGACTGCTGAGAACCTTTCGTCTCTAGCTTTTTGCTGTACACACAGAAACATATAGACTTTTAAACAATGCTTTTGGGGATGAACAGCGTGATACAATAATGGGAAAAAGCAATGAGGTGCAATTCAATAGGAATTGCATTTGGCACTTTCCAAAAAAATGCATGGGTATCAAATAGCAGGCACACTAGGCATGACAAACCTAGTGCCAAAAAGACCAAAATGATGTGGCAGAAGTTAGTTGACTCCCATAATTTTGCACGACATCCTCTTATTGTAGGTTTGAGTTACACATCCATACAGCTTTGCGCATAAATCGAGTTTTTCATGGCAATGTTAGTTATATCGTAAGATGATCATTGCCTTGCAAAGATGGTCACATTCTAACATGGAACACTTGGGTATTAATAATGTTAAACTTTGCCCCAAAACAGATGTTATGGCCTGAAGCAGCTCCAAGATCAAGATACTACTGAGATAAAGTATTATTATTTTATGGACACACGGCAGTCCATCGAACACTTGAAAGGTATTCGCTGACAAAAAGATAGTAAAAAGGGGATCTATGTAAATTAGTTCATAGACACTGTGAGTATCTCTCTCTCTATATGACCTCTGATTTTCTCATATCTCAACATTCAATTTGCTATACCAAATACATTTTCAATGTTATATTGAACTCTCAGCTCATAATAAAAATCCATATAGTGACTTCTAGCATAGGATTCAGTTAACAACTGCTTTAGCCTTTAAGTTATGAAGCAGAAAAAACCTTTTTCCTTTCCATTTCAGCTCAAAAAGAAAAGGGCAACCCAATGCACAAGGCATCCCGCGTTCATGCGGGGTAGGGCCGCACCACAAGGATGTGATGGAGACAATCTACCCTAATGCAAGAATTAGTGGTATGCTTCCATTCAGCTCACAGTTCACAAAATTAACAAGGACTTGAGTTATATGCACTGACAAAGGAATTCATTAAACATCAGTACAATTTAGCTTCGATTAATGCTATTCATCAGAGTTACCTGCATTTACTTTTAAAAGGACCAGATTATATAAAGAAATTTACACAATCAGTGCACAGAACTTGAACTCAATTAACAATACACCTACATAACAAATTCCTAGTCAACTGGAAACTTCTAAGTCGAAAACATAAATAGAAGGGAAAAGAGTTGAAAAATTAAATCGTTCACAATTGAACTAAATACATACCCATAACTAGGTGAGCTAAAATCACCAAATCCAGGAATCAAATCATCGCTTTCTGACCTCTTTCCAGCGTGATCTTTCTTCGGACCATCCGATTTCAATCCCAAGTTCCCAAATAAATCATCAATTGAGTCACTTTTCTTTGGTGCCGTACCAAACAAATCAAAATCATCATACGAATTATTACCGCCATAGTTATTGTTATTATTACTATTAGAACCACCTAAAACTGATTCAATATCAACATTATTCTGCTGCTTTGAATTTGCAAAAACGCCACCGAAAATATCATTATTGTCGTAATTCTGTGAACTCTTGGACCGGAAAATTCCATCGAGATCATTGGCAAATGGATCGGAGCTGTAACCCGAGTTTTGACCGGAATTAAACCCAAGGTTTGAGGGAAAGCCATTGGTGGAATTGGTCTTATTAGCCTTCAAATTGGCCATCGGTGTTGACTTGCCGCCTTGAACTTTAACGCCATATCTCTCAACCAAAACGCCAAATTCATCCATATTTTTTTGTCAAAACTGAAACTGAAAGAAAATTACAAAGAATTGGCAGTAATTCTTACAACTGACTACTATCAATTAATTAATACATCTAACAAAGATAAAGGAAACGCAATATGGGTTAAGTATGTATATACAAAAAAGGAAGGTGCAGAGTAATGAGCTGAAAATTGATGATGAAGAAAATAAAAAGTGCCTTCTTCAATAATAGAGCGTCGGTTCGGTTGGTGGGGTACGACCGTACGTACGCGTATTTGTGCAAGTATGAGATGTCAAATCGTTGGCATCCGGCTACGTTGGGTAAAAGGATTTGAGATGGTCCTTCGCTAAATGATTTACACGTTGTTTAAATTAAACTAATATACTTTCATTATCAATTTAAATAGGGTGAAAATTATTTTCATCCCCAAATTTATTTTAAAAATCAAACTCATCCTCCAACTTTAAACAATTACTATTCTGCTCCTCATATCAAAGATAACTTCTTACGATACCTATTTTACCCTCTATAATTTTTATCTCTTAATTTTATTCTTCAATATAATGATATCTTTTTATTTTAATTTATGTTATCAGCTTATCTATCGACAACTTTAAAAAATTATTTTGAAACAAAAAAAAAGTGCTATAATGACGTTACAGTGAAATAAATAAATAATTATAATAAATAATTTACTCGTATCAGTAATTTTATTAATGGCAATCAAAACTCAGTCTATTTACAAAATTGAGAATAAAGACGATAAATTTTTATAAATAATATAGTGCAAGTAATAAAAATAATAATGGCCGAAAAATAGTAAATTTTATAATAAATTTACAAAAATTATCTATTTACACTTTACATGAAATTTAATCATAATTTAGAAAAAACTTTACTAATAACAATCAAAACTCAAAATTTTATATACACGTAAAGAATAATAAAAATAATGAAACTTAAATCACACCTCACATACATACACCGACGTACATTATATACATTTTAATACACATAATATTTGAATAATAACAATAATAATAAAGTAGCAATACATTTTGCAATAAATTCATAATATGATTATTTTATTTATAATGTTAGTGAACTTAGATTAAATTATATAACAAGATATAGTATTCTTAAATTATGAATAAATACATGTATTAAAAAATTATAATAATATAAAAAAAGGCATTACATATATGGGAGTTGAAAATGTCAAGAGTAAAATAGATATTATGATACAACAACAACAACAACAACAACCCAGTATAATCCCACTTAGTGGGGTCTGGGGAGGGTAGTGTGTACGCAGACCTTACCCCTACCCTGAGGTAGAGAGGTTGTTTCCAAATAGACCCCCGGCATCCTTCCCTCCAAGAACTTCCCACCTTGCTCTTGGGGAGACTCGAACTCACAACCTCTTGGTTGAAAGTGGAGGTTGCTTACCATCAGAGCAACCCCTCTTGTCTAAAATAGATATTATGATAAAAGAATGAAAATGACAGTTGGTCAAAGTTGGAGGATGAGTTTGACTTCTAAAGTAAACTTGGGGGATGTAACTGATTTTCACACACTTAAATATAATGACAATTTATTGACTATGGAACTTCAATTATAACTATTAAAATATATTGGGGGATACTCAAAACTTTTCATAATGTTGTCGTATTTGCATAAATTAAAAAATATACAAGTAATATTAAATATCATTTTTTTCACTAGCTAAAAATTCTAAGCTCAATGATTTAGTTGAATATTAATGAAAATGGAGGTGTAGGTTCAGTTCTTCTTAGCCTCAAATTTTTTTAACAAAAATACTCTTACGATTTTCACAAGAGGAAATATGAGCATGACAAATGGATCGAGAAATACTTTTTTAAAAGAAGCAGTGTAACTATTATATATTTTTTATTTCTGCAAAATATTAGTATAGACATTTAATAAATTTTTCGAACGAACCAATGTCGGATGACAATGCTTCCTCCCATGTACGTCTGTCCCTCAGTATATAATCTTAATGGGGGTCATTTGGTTACCAAATGAAATAGACAAGAATATCTCATAGATTGGGATATCCAATGGATTACCTAACCCAATCCCATTATTTTCATATAAAATTTATTTCATTATTAATTAATGCTCATAACCGAACATGAAATAAATACACTCTTATGCTCCAACTCGAGATTAGTATGGAATGATGAAAAGTATTTTATTCCTTCGTGGCTAGAAGTCAGGTTATGTGGTTTGCCTTTGCCGTCCAAAGCACAAGTACTACAATACGATTCTATTAATACAGAATTCTTGCACCGAAAAAGTTATAGTAAGAAGAATAGAAGAAATAAATAGTTAATTAAAGGATCATAAGATTGTTTACCTGAAAAATGATAATTACAATTATATTTAATTATGTGATTCTAAAAATACGTAATTTATTTCAATACTAGTTGTTAGGTAATATATATTAAGTGTAAATAAAGAAAATAAGATACGCAAATCAATAGGGTCACAAAGCTAGCCTCGAGCTGGCTGGAGCAGGGCCTCGTGGTCTAGATGGGGTCAATAGCAATGAACAATTAATGAAGAATCAATGATAATGAGGGCCTCAGAAATGGACTCCGAAACTTAAATAATGGTATTTTGGACTCAAAATACCATTATTCAGTTAAAAAAAGTTACATTATAACTAAAACGCAGTATTATACTGCGTTTTAGTTTAACGAAAAGTTAGCCGTTAAAGTAAAACGCAGTATAATACTACGTTTTATTTAATAATTTATTTTTTTATAGGAAAATGCAGTATAGTACTACATTTTAGGAAAATGTAGTATTATACTGTTTTCCTATAAAAAAATATAACCCATCTTCTTCCTCACGACAGAACCACTGGTTCATTTTTAAACCCCCCTCCCCTTTTTGTGGTCCCTTCCCCCCTCCGATTAAAAAAAAAATCCTTGGGCCCCACCCGTCACACAAAAAGTGAAGAGTGTAGGTCCAGCATACAACCAAAGCCTTCGATTGTTGTGGATTCCTTCTTTCGGGCTCAAATTTTCAAATTTTCGACATTTCAAAAAACATAAATCGAGGTATTCCGATTTAGTTTATGTCGAAACTCGTAGAGCATATGCGAATGTGTTTCCACGTTGATTTGTGTTATGTTTGCGAATAAATTTGTATGTTATTTTTACTCGAATTAAATTATTAGTGTTTTAAAAAAATAGTTAAAAGTTGAGAAATAATTTTTATTGTTAATAAAATTGTTCACAAATATCTTTTATTGTTTTATATGTAATTTCGTGAATGTTATGTTCATATGTTTGTTGTTTTTATTTAGTTTAAATTATTTATTTGCTTAAAGAATAGTGGCCTTTTAGCGTAGTAAAATATAGAGCCTTTTAGCGCAGTAAAATATAGAGCCTTATAGCGTAGTAAACTATAGAGCCTTTTAGTGTAGTAAAATATAGAGTCTTTTAGCGTAGAGTCTTTGTAGTTTAAGTATCTACTAACTACAAACTCTATCCAATTAAACTTTACAAAATTAATTATTTAATTTATAAAACAAACTTACAGAACTAAAAAATTAATATATGTTGTCAAATTAAATATCGAGCGTGGAACTCATAGTTATATACCCTGTCCAATTAAAAAATAATTATTTAATTTATAAAACTAACAAAATTTAAATTTTTTGAAATTGACACACATAATAATTAAGGATAGTTTGGTGCTACTAGGCCTCAAATATCGAGCCCGGAACCCATAGTTATATACCCTGTCCAATTAAAAATTAATTATTTAATTTATTAAACAAACAAAATTCTAAATATATTGAATTTGACACACATAAAAATTCAGGATAGCTTGGTTCTACTGGGCCTCAAATATTGAGCATGTAACCCATAGATATTTACTATGTCCAATTAAATAATTAATTATTTAATTTATTAAACTAACAAAATTCTAAAAAATTTGCAATTGACATACATAATAATTAAGGATAGCTTGGTGCTACTAGGCCTCAAATATCGAGCCTGGAACCCATAGTTATATACTCTGTCCAATTTAAAATTAATTATTTAATTTATTAAACTAACAAAACTTTAAAAATATTGAAATTGACACACATAAGAATTAAGGATGGCTTGGTGCTACTAGGCCTCAAATATCGAGCCTGGAACCCATAGATATTTACTTTGTCCAATTAAATAATTAATTATTTAATTATTATAACACAAACAAAATTCTAAAAATATTAAAATCGACACACATACGAATTTAGGATAGCTTGGTGCTACTGGGCCCCAAATATCGAGTCTGGAACCCATAGTTATATACTCTGTCCAATTTAAAATTAATTATTTAATTATTATAACACAAACAAAATTCTAAAAATATTAAAATTGACACACATAAGAATTTAGGATAGCTTGGTGCTACTGGGCCCCAAATATCGAGTCTGGAACCCATAGTTATATACTCTATCCTATTAAATAATTAAATATTAATTATTATATCACAAACACACAATTAATATTGTTTACATTACAATAGACGACATAGACTTGCCGCTTGTGCATCCTGGACTAGCCTCAGATCAGATATTAGTATTACAGGGCGACCATAGGTCCGCCTACGTATGGGAGGGACATCTATTGGATCAGAGTCTCTGCGTCAGGAGACCGGACGACTTGTGGGACTTTTTGAAGTAGAGAGATTTCCATCCCCGCGTAGTCCATCGCCTGCGTGCTACGGGCTTCCTTGGGATTTTTTAGATTGGGCGGCTGCAGCTCAACTGGTCTCTCATCACGGCATTGATAGAGCGGTGGCGACCGGAGATGCACACTTTTCACCTTCCCACTAGAGAGGCCACTATCACGCTTCAGAATGTTCAGATTTTATATGGGCTGCGTGTTGATGGACTGGCTGTTGCACTACCCCAGTATATGAGAACTATGACGTATACGAGTTCTCTTTTGCACTTGCAGATTGCGCAAATAGTCCTTATTACACACCATTTTAAAAGATTCTGGCGGCCAATAATGCTCAGTACCCAATGGCTGCAATCGCCCACTATACGTGTGTACGTATGCAGCAACACTGTATTGCCTATCAATATAGTTGGTTGCCCCTAAACCCAACTTGTTGAAAGCACTTCAAGGCATGTGCGCACGGTATGTGGCAGATGGTCCATTTCTCACATGAACACAACCTGCTGGCTTCATTCACCGTTTGTAGATTATTCCCCCGGTGTCCGCAGATAGCGGTCTTAACTTCAAAAACACCGCG